AGCAGGAATTAATAGCATCATTACCAATTAGTGGATAATAAGAATATCACAATGCTCATAGGCATTTATGAATACAAAGTGAGTAAGTCTTAAGGGCACCAACAGAGGAGATTAGTGACATAATCACAGAATGAAAGATGTGCAGATGAGCAGTTTGAACACTACAAGCAAACTGCTGGGAAATGAAGAGTTCACCTCTTAGGTGTAATGCAGGTTACCCAGATGAACTGATAACATCTGAAAATACATTTACTTCAATCCCTTCTCTTCGTGACAGCCAACTGCCATCTCTGAATGCAAGAAAGAAGACAAAGAACCATGAAAAAGAACATTTTCAGTGTGATTTTCAAACCTCTGAAGAGCAGAATCACACTCAAGTATAATAAAAGGGCAGTGAGAAGTGCTTCAGAAGTAATTAACAGATGAAGGTGCTCTGAGGCAGTGAAAGCTGCCACCCAACATTTAAGTTAGTTAAGAATAGGTGTGGGGGGGGTCTCAAATCAGCTGCTTGAAACGTTGTGCGTTTATCACTAAGCTATAAGCATGTTTCTGGAGATCAAATTGTGCTCCAGACCTTTCTTTTAGAACTTTGTGGGTAGAAAGGAAAAGAATGTTTGCTGATGCATCGTGGGGAGTGAGACTGGCAAACAAAGAAGAATGTGGCACCAGGGGTGAAGAAACTGACAGTGTACATTTTGCATGTTGGCTCAAGGACAGACTTGGAGCAAAGAGATGTCCTTGAGTGAGGATCCCAGAATCTAAAACCAAAAAAACTGTTTTCCTCAGAAGCTGGTAAGTACCTCCAGCAGCACAGGGGTATATTGCACTAGGCCACATGTCCTTCCTGGGCACTGATACTGTGTACCTGCAGTATCTAAAACCAAAAGTCATCAGACAGCTTTTGCATTAGAAGTCAAGAAAAAAGTCCCAGCCCATACACAAAGGCAGTCAGAGCAGAACATGATTAATTTAAATTGATTTAGGGGAGGAAGAGGAGAGGTGACCCAAAGCCCAAAAGAAGTTCATTATAACCCCTATCCTCCCACAGAGCAGTAATAAAGGAAGGTCAATTGCTCTTTGCCAATGAGACAGTGTGGAAGAACAGACATAGGCTTCTTTATGCTTCTTCCTTTAGAATCATAGAAAAAAAAAAAGAAGAAAAAAAAAATCTCACCATATTCAGAAAACAGCAGTTGTCTCACTAATGAAGCAGAGTTTTCCTGCAAGCTAGTACTGTTTAATAAAAACCCTAATTGAATGTTCTTTCCCATTTCTGTGTGGCTGAGGTACACAGTACAAATGGATGCTCTGAAAAACAATGTGCAGCTGGCTGTGTCAAACTGGGACTATCTCAGGACAGTGACAAGCCCTCTGCCTTTAGACCACTCTGTCCACTCTATCTTTTAATCTCAGGAATTTTTATTAATCTAACATATCAGGTAGTTCTGCCTAAAATTGGTAAATCCATGGAATACATAAAGCATTTGACTCATCACAGGACAATCTTAATTTTGCCCTTGACAAATTGCCTGAGAAGTCGAGGCAGATTCATTAGAAGTTTATTCAGGACAACAGCTCTAAACACAATTAAATGTTACTTCATCCTCCTCCAGAATGAGGCATCTCCCTCAAAAATTATTTTGAAAGACATTTCCCATGAAGTAATCAAAAGGGAAAAAAAACCAACCAACCAAACAAACAAAAAACCTAAGCAGGAAAGCGTAAATGAGAGTCAGATAACATTATAAAGAACGAAAGAATAAGCAAGTAATTTCTAGACAACGTGCACATGACAGAAACAGCAAGGGGGTGGAGTAAGAGAGAAGTTTATTTATTTGATGAACAAAAATATTCATGCTATTGATCACTGTGTAGCTTAAACACCCTTACATTACTTGTACAACAGATAACACAGGAAGTTATTTTGTGGAGCTGCTTGAAAGACTTCTAGAAATATTGAGATTTAGATAATCCAGTAGTGGCCATTGTACATGTTATGGACCCACTGAACCTTCAGAGATGCACTGAGTGGGCACAGCTAGAACAACAGGAATCCATTAACTGCACAAACTCCCACAGCCCATGGAATAGGATCAAACAGTGCATCAGTCTTCCACAGTTGGTCACAGTGTATAGTAACACTCTCAGCTACAACACAGTTACTCTGTTAAAGGCCAAACGATGCTTTGTTTCAATTGTCTCTATCTTAACTAGATGTTTCCTGACTTGAAAAATCAGGCACAAGTTCCATTTCCAAAACCTGTTTCTTGAGTTGTGAACTATATATATTATTGCTCCAGTATTGTCTATGTGTTCCACCTGCAAAATCCCCAAAAATCTGGACCCCAGAAGGAGATTTGTGCCAATACATAGCAACTGCAAACCCATTTTTTAATACTCAGCCCTATGTTAAATGCACAGTTTGTTATTTCACAATGAAAGGAAAAAAGAAGCTAGGTAGAAGCCTTATTCAAAAGAATATTTCAGTGCTTAGAACCCCCTAATTTAAGCAGATGGATGCTATGAAAGGTTGCCTTGGTAACATGCCTAAGCTACTTAACATTGCTAGAGGGTAAAGAAGTAGCACCATTATTGCTGGTGAAAGCTAATGATGGGACCTGTTTGTTAATAATTTCTTTAGTCCCCATCATAGCACAGTAGATAAGCTAGATCTCACAAGACCACTATGTCTTTCAGTCTCATTAACTTCTAACTTTTTGTCAGTCTATTTTTAAGGACATCATCTGGCTCCCAGCATGGCCAGTTTGAGGACATTTGGCAGTTTAGTTTGTTCACTCACAGGGAACATGCTTTGTCACCTCAGATATTGGACAGCATTCTAGCAGGTGAAACAAGTAGGTGCCTGGAGTATGCCAGGTACATAGTGAACCTACAGGGTATTGCCTTTCAGAATGAATACAAACTTATTTGAGAGACCTATTTGACAGAAATCCCTTAATCCCTTCTCTTTTTTTCTCACTTGTATTGTAGGCGAATGTTTTATCTGCACAGAAATCTTGACCTGATGCAATAACATCTTCCTTACAGAGGATAACAGATGGAACTAAATGTAGCCATGATAACCACTGATTGAATGAATTTTGGTTCACTAGAAAATTATCTCTCTTCTAGGAAAGTAATTTTACCCTATTCAATTGAAATCATGCAAGGGAGTTATTGACAGAAGCATTGACCTAGACTATCCCATTGTAAACCCTGAGCTGAAATGAAACCTACATTTTTATTTTTCTCCACTGCTTTTCTGCTACTTGTACAACAATTCTCCTTAGGGGAAGGATATAATCTGCATATTTGCAAATTGTTATATTTATTAAAATGACAAAATGCAAATGAGAAATGCTCAATCCCAAAGCTGAAAAGCAGACATTGTGCAGAGAATCAGGTGGAGGGAGAGGAGGGAAGTCACCTGCTGTGCATCCCCTTACAGTACCCCGAAATGGAGGATTAAATACGTAAAATAAAATGCTCACCTTCCAATACCATTAGTATTTTTGAAATCTCCTGAGGTCAGGTGGGATTAACCTACAAAAATATGAAGAAAAGCTTCCAATACCATTAGTATTTTTGAAAACTCCTGAGGTCAGGTGGGATTAGCCTACAAAAATATGAAGAAAGGCTCTTAAGGACCCCAGGTCAGTAATTGCTGAGCCTCGCTAGGCATACACTGACTTCTAGAAGTACAAAGTGAGAGAAAACACTATCAGCCTCCTTTACCTTGAAAAGTGAGGTCCTGCTCCCACAGGACTCAGGGTCTTACAGAAAGGAAGTTGAAGTGAGTTGTAGCTTGATTTTATTTACTGTAACTTACAGGAAATAGAAGTAATTCTTCATCCTCTTCAAAGGCTTCCAAGAATTTTAAGGAAGTTTAAAAATTTTCAAAGAGTGGGTGTTTTGTAACACACATCCTTCACCATACCAGACTGAGGAGCTTTTGTTCAAGAGGAGAAAGATGTTTTTGAGAAAGGCTTTTTCAATAAAGACTGACTTATTTCCTGATGTGCATCCTGTAGGTGCCCTGAACATTGACTTCACAGCAATATTTTACAGGGAAGGGACTTTGGGTATATTGGTGAGGATCTCTGCTTCAGGAGCAGCAGACAGCCTGGACTTGCAAGCTACCATTTCCCCTCAACAAACCCCAAACAAAAAGCCTGCTAAAATTCACATGTATGAGCTCTAGCAGCTCATACCACCCACCTCTGGTCAAGGCTACCTCTCCCTGCACCGTTCCCATCCTGGCAGCACCAGTCACCCCCTTGTGCTGCTCCACTGTGTTCCTCAGCCCTTGTTCCCCTTCCCCAGCTGCAGCTCTGGGGCTACCACAGTTGCTGTCAGCAGCTCATCTCATGCTAACCTTCATTTTGTATGGTGATTTCAAAGAACATTGTTTTCAGGAAAATTTTACCTCGGGTCAAGCTTTGGTGCCTGTGACAGGGGCTGGCAGCCTAAGTGGAGAGCAGCATTGCAGGGGCACTCTAATCCAGCCAGCACACAGGTTGGGATCCCACAGGCACAGGGAACCTTCCTTGGGTAATCATCTCTCTAGGAATATTTCTGGCCAAAGAGCACTGGAGTTTAAAAAAAAAAAAAAAATCCTCTATGCATTAGTTTTCTGGGTTTCTCCTGTCAGAAGTAAGTTACTGGGAAAACCTTTCTCCTCAGGCCAGTCCTTGTTACTCCTCTCAGTGGTGTTTCCTTGCAGTCAGGCTATTTCCCTTGCAGTTACTTTCACTAGCCCTCCAAATGTTAGGGAATATTATTTCTATTCTTCCATGTCTACTTAGCTTTACTGCTGCAGCCTTTGTATGGTTTGAAGTTTTCCAGGCACTGTCTCCATTAACTACAGTTGTTTGCTTGAGCCCAAACCAGTCGATCCATGTTTTCCAGGGAGGAGTGTTGGTTTAGAGCATCTTGCCCCCCGGCAGTTGTCAGTGTTGTCTGTGTTATGCTGCCTTCACTACTGACATAGGAAAAACTCTTTCACTGCACAGACTCGCTTGTTCACTGGTACCATGTAACACACAATCTTGTCTTTTCCAGACAGCGCAGACAGTGCTTCTCGTGGTTGCTGTGTTCCTGCTGTCCTGGCTGCCACACCACATCATCACCATGTGGGCAGAGTTTGGGCAGTTTCCCCTGAACAACATCTCCTTCACCTTCCGCATCATCTCTCACTGCTTAGCCTATGGGAACTCTTGCATCAACCCCATCATTTACGCTTTCCTCTCGGAAAATTTCCGCAAGGCCTGCCGGCAGGTCTGCACCTGCAAGTTCTTCCTGCAGCCTGAGAAACTGGTCAGGATACGCATGGAGAACTTCTCTACCACACACTCCACCACTAATGTGTAAATTGGGCTCACAAATATGTTTCAGGAGGAAGAGGAGGGAAGAGGGCGTTGTCTGGAGAAAACGTGTACAAGTGTGTTTCGGGGAGCAGTGAAGTCTGCAAAAATGTGGACTTTGTTGGATTACTGGAGTGGTAGAAGGCGTTTTTCCCTCTGGCTGTGAGGACATCTGGCAGAGCTTGTCCTAAGGTACCTTGCTAGGTACCTGGCTATGTGGAACAGAAGTATCTGAATGCCCGTGAGATAGAACTCACATGCAGTGGTAGCCATGCCCAAACAGTCTAAAATAAGAGTCACACAAAAGGTAGAATATGTACAGACAAGAAGAGAGCAGTTAATTCTGTCTGTAGATGGTCATTCAGATGTGAACAATAAATGATGTGACATTTAGAGAGCAGTTTGGGAAAAGTCAAACTACAGTCTTTGTATATGTCTTTGTTCCTTCAACAATTTGACTATATGCAATCCACATACACAGGCAGCTCACTAGCTGTGATAGGGTCTCTAAATCTCCTTGAAGGCTTTGCTGCAGTATTTCCCTGTTGGGCACTAAATCCTTACACATGACATGTCAGTGATGTGACTGTCTGCATTTGGTGGCTCTGTATCAGCTTATACATCCCAGGGTCTAAATGTCTGTGTCTCATGCTCCTGCATGTAATTACTGCTGTTAATCACTGGTTCCAGCAACTGTCTCTTGGTGAGCAACAGCAGGAAAGTGGTATGTCTCAATATATGCTTAAAAGAACTGCTGTTGTTTGAAAATAATGTTTACAAAACATTTTGCTGGTAAATATAGTGTTCTCTGAGTCTATCTACCCAAAGTTTTTATTGGTCACTTTAGTATATAAAAGCTTAAAGTTTTGTGGTTTGTTTTGGATGATTTTTTTGTTTGTTTGTGGGGTTTTTTTGACAAACTGTTGTGATCGACAGTGCCCTAGCAACAAACAGTATTTGTACCAAGTTCAAGGTTACTGTTTGTAAATATCTAATGTGCATGTGATTTCCAAATTAGGAAGCATATGACTGAAAGAACTTGATTATTTCACTGTGTTGTCTAATTTGGTAATTCTTTGTCCTGCAATCCAGAGTCATCTGTTCACAGACTGTAAAAAAGTGAGCTACAAAGCTAAACTACAAATTACACATCTAAAAACATAACAGAAATATCCAAATATAACTTTGTAGAACATCTCCAGCATCTTTTCTTATGCCCATCAGGACGCATACAAATAGTTTTTGTAACGTGTAATACACCGATTCGTTGTTAACATGTGAAATAGTTTTTGTAACGTGTAATACACCAATTCATTGTTAACATGTATAATTTGTATCTCAGTGTCAAGCATGCCCATATTGCCACTGAGAATCTGGACAGTCTATCAGAAGTCAACCCTCCTTACATTTTCCTTCCACATCTTTTAACTCCAGAAACCAAACCTCTCTTATCCCCAATGCCACTTAGTTACTGATACAACTTAAGCAGATGCATTAATTTTGAATAGCCATTGCCACATCGTTTGATCACAGATTTTGTGTTAGAAGTTATTGTTTATGTGACATCATTTAACTGTTGCTAACTTTGGTTGCATTATTTAGCTGGAAACTGTAGGTAATGGAGCAAAGTATTATAGTACACACCGTCTGCAACAGAAATTTTAGCCAGAAGTACTGATTTAGTCCTGTATAACAGCTATATGAGAAGACAAATACTTGGAAATCAGGTATCTGACATCCCAATCAACCATTCTCTTCAAAAACTGAAAAAGGGTGGCTCTGTATATTGAACTGAGCAGCACAGTCACCATCACTAGCTTACCTCAGGAAGGAAAAATGCTCTACAAAACAGATAGTAACTTGATACTTATGCTATATTATACAGCAAAGTGCTACAGCTTTGAAAAAGATCAGATTTGAATTGTATGACATTTGAGATGGAGTGAAAATGAAATTGCTTAGACCAAGCAGGCAAGCAACTATTAAAATCTCTCAAGAGTTTCTTGAATACAATTTCCCTCATTTAATCTGTGTATCTACAGTAAAAGGAAGCTACTTCTCAGAGTTCAGAGGACCTGATATAATACAAGATGCAAAGAGAGTTAGAATCTTCTGTAAATGATACTAGATTGTTCCCAGAGACTTACCCTACTCCTAGAGATGCACAGTAAGCTTTGGCTGATGGACACATAAATTGCCTGATTTGCAGTTAATTGAACTACAGATGAGCCAAATAGACCAGGCAATGAACGGGTCCACAACACAT